TTTTAAATTTTCATTGTAAGTGCCAAAGCAGTTAATTAAAAGTAGTCTAACATAAATGTAAATGCTGTAATTTGATTATTTTAATAAACATGTAACTTGGATGGATTCGATGCTGGCGTGACCACAGTGCACACGTCTAATGTTGCTCACAGTGGTCCAAGGGACCGCTCAGGGAGTTTGTGCGTTCGCTCAGACATATGAAATATTAGAGGGAACATTGACTGGGATCCAGGGAAAAACAGACTAACAGGTCCAGGAAGCAAGAAGTAATTCTACATCCAGAAATTACAAACATAAGTTTGAGACTAGCCGGGGCTTTACGAACACAGGGCATTCACCGTTCCAACGACGAGCTGCTCTGAGCCACCACGTCAAATAGTAGCCACAAATCATAGGAACAAATCAGTGGCAGGTGGGTGGGCCAAAAGCGAGAGCCCAGTAATGAGCTCTGCCCAGGCAGGTAGAAGGCAGCGATGTTAAAAAGAGAGAGACACACACACAAAAACAAAACTACGGCCCGACATTAGCCAGCTGGAGAGACACGGGGACCATGACACCATTACCCTTTGTGATAGTTTTCATGTTTCATATGAACTAAGCAAATACACAACATATGCAGTGTTATACAGAAATATTTACATACTTATAACAAGACCAATTTCACATGTTTAATGCACTCTTTGCCATTTATTAGATTAGTCACATGCATTATGATATCACAATACAAAACATATCATGGTTATAACTCTATTAAAAACTACTGATCCAGTATTCTCAGCTTATATATCTGAAACATTTTTTAAATTGATTGAAACAATAAGAGCATGTAGAAAGCTTGGTGTCGTAGAATTTTGTAAATAAAGTCTGCAAGACGGAAAGAGTCAAACAATTTATCACTGCGTGCAAGAGAACACGCACACATCAAAGTATAACAGGTTCATAGTAATGAGCATTCCAACCTCGGGGCGTCGCAGTGCCCCTTTTATAACATCACACAAACTCTATGTGTCTTTTCAGTTACAACAGTCTTTTCTCCAACCCAGGCTGTTGGTGAATGCAAGAATGTGTGGGTTGCATGCATGCAAAGGTTATACAAAAATCATACAGTGAAGTTCTAACAACGTAAATCTAAATGTGAGGGTTAACTAGAATTTTCCCATTACATTGGAAAAATCCTATTGAAAAGAGAAATCAAATATTTCAATTCATTTTATTGAGCTCAGACTTGTTGAAAATGCAGAGGAGCTGGTTATGAACTGAGCTTCAGAGAAACACAACATACTGATATTCACTGTGAAGCTTCCATCTTTAAAGGACAGAAGAGGAAGAAGTTTACAACGAATCATTTAGAACAGTTTAAAACATCAACTGATTGAATCCATGAATCTGAAAACGTGTGAAAGAGACAAACATGTACAGACTGAACTATCTGCTCAACTGTCAGAGCGTTTCTCTAACTGAAGACACTCTTTACACTCAACTCAGCACAGACTCACTGAGGAACCAGGAGACCGGAGTCTAAATCCGGGATAAAGAGTTTCAGTGAATGTGGTGTTGAAGGTGTGGAGGTGGATCAGAGAGTCAGAGGAGACTCTGTAGAAGGACAGAGTGCCAGCAGGACAGTCCACATACACTGCTACTCTGTTAGAGACAGAGGAGGAGGAGGAGGAGGAGGAGATGGATGTTTGTCTGTTATTGTTCCAGACAGAACGAGGACCATCATCATCAGAGCAGCTCAGACTCCAGGACTGATTGTTGTATCCAAACAAACAGTCTTCACTGTCTCCTTTCCTTCTGATTCTTCTGTAACTCACTGATATATAAACGTCTCCTCTCCACTCGACCTCCCAGTAACAGCGACCAGTCAGACCATTTCTACACAGCAGCTGGTAATGAACATCAAATCTGTCTGGATGATCAGGATATGACTGAACCTCCTTCACACGTGTCACCTTCTTGTTGTTGTCATCAGACAGTTTGATGTTTGTGTGAACTGTGTTTGTGTCGATTGTGAGTTGACAGGAATCTGATGAGAGAACAAACACAATCCAGCTGCAGTTATTGATCCATCATCTGTTCATTGATTGACACTTTGATGATGACTCCTGACATCAGAGATGTGAATGAGTGATGTGACAGTTTGAAGATGGTTGAATGTGTGCTGCTTTGTTTTCATGCATCACATTAAAAACACACTTACACTTCCTCAGACCTGGTCTCAACCATCGTTCTCCAGCAGGCTCCACCCTGAAAAGAGGAGGAGGGGGGTCAGACCAGCACAGTCAGCATGCACACATGAGCATTACATGGCTCTCATACACATACTGTTAGACACTGATAACAGACCAACAGATTTTCACAAATTCACTTCAATCCACATGTGGATCAAACTGCTGATGATTTGGACTGATCCTGGATCTGTCAGTACACCCTGTATTGAATTAAATTCAAACTGTGACCTTCATTATCTTTATATTTCTCTTCTGTTTATGCTTCTTTGTAGTGTGTAGTGTGTAGGGCTACATGCTTTCAGTCAGTAGCCCTACCACTGTTCCTTCACAAATCCAAAGTTTTTAATTCTCAAACCAAATCCTTAATCTGAGAATAATTACCATCAGCAATAACATCCAGTAACAATTCAAAAAGCCACCATTCCCGACACATACACATAATCCAATCAGCTCATCTCTCACCAGCCAAACTCTCTCATCTGCACCTGTGCTATGCTCCCACCTGTCTTTGTGTTTGCAGGTAGCTCCCAGTGTATATATTGTCCTCTTTTCCTGCGCCTGCTTTGGATTTCTGTTTGATGGACTTTGTGTTTCATCATTTTACAGTTTTGCATTTCGAACAATGAAAGCTCCTTTTTATCACTTCCTTCCTGCCTCTGTATCTTCCACCTGGGTCGTTTCACCCACACCCCTCCCCCACATTGGACAATCGGACCATCTCTCCCTTTTCCTTACACCTAGGTATTCACCACTCATCCAATGTGTGAAACCTGCTGTGAGGACAATTAAAGTGTGGCCAGAGGGGACAGACGCAGTGCTCCAGGACA